ACCGACAATGAGAGAATCGGGTTAAAGCGCGCGATTTCGGAGAGTGGAGACAAATCGATCGATGGAATAGGATGGAGTAGAAGTGTAAGATGTGAATGCAACGAAGCAGAAGGCCAGAAAGAGCTTCTAGTGAATGCACTCCAAGAACCAAGTTTGAGCATCCCCGTCGCCAGCATTCGTGAAAGACGTCCGTGGCAATTCGAACGCGTAGCAGCCTTTTCGTTTTCGAATTTCTAATCAAAACGAAAGCAATACTTCAGTTCTTTTCACTATTATCGTGGATAATGAGTCTCAAGCCAGTGATTTATGGCTGAAATAGAAACACAAAAACACCATGACTTTAACCGCGCAGAAGATTCCTTTAAAAACCTGCTGGAGAATATGTCAAGCAATGAGGGTAAAAAGGATAAAAGGATGAAGCATTTGCCGTTGATCTCAATCCCTTTCCTGGATGCGGCACGCATTCTACTTCCATTTGTACATTCGTAGTGGCGTTTGAATGCGATGTGGCCCTATACAATGACTTGCGGGGGTCCAGCCGATGATCAAGTCAGTGTTTTTGACCTCCCAGACAAGTCTGGTACCAGTCAGAATGAGGTATTCACAAAAAATAATGCATTCCAGCGACTTCCCGCTGTTCGACATTTCGAGGACAAAAAGTCACCGAGGAGCGGCGATACGATCGAATTTGAACTTCGCGCTCGATTATGAAACTATCGGGAGTTCAAATGTGCACGTGTATACTTCGATCATATATGATGTCTATCAAATAAACGAATTTCACTTGTCCATCACCTTAATTTCACGTAAACTCGGTCCGCAGTGGCGACCTCCACATTTCACGACCTTGTTACCCAAACCAGCTTCAAATCGCGGCAATTGATTCGAGCAATCTCATGCAACATCCTGTCACTGTACTTATGGGTTGCCTGAAAGGGATAAGGAGAAACAAGCAGCCCGAGGAACCGTTTTGCGAAAAAGTGCTCTGCTAGGTTGAAGGTAAACCAATGCGCTGGGAAAAAAAAACTTGAGACATGCAGGAAACCCTCAATGTGTTTCCCCAAATACATGTATCATAAAGTCGGCTTCTTATGTTGGCTTCAGATCTTGCCCTCCATCAATCCTCTAGCCCCTCTTCCACTTCCTCTAAAAATCTGATGCATACCATGGAAGGGAACCTAGTTCAACAATTACAAATTAAGCCCTTCTTGTTAGAATAATCCCTATAGGTAGTAGACCCCAGAGCGACGTCAAGCCGATGTACTTTGCGAATCGAGCGATCGGCGATCCGCGGTCTCGTCGCGGCTAGCAAATCGCTCGACTAGCTGATATCGCATGCGACCGCGGACGCTAGCGAATCACTAGTAGCGAATCGCTTGATTCGCTAAG